TCCCCCTCACTGCGGGGTGTCTTGGGTACAGTCTCCGTGTTTTGGATGTCCGCTGTTGTTGGATCACAGGCGCGACGACCTCTGCCCTCCACTAAACCCCCAGTACCGAGGTGAAGGTAGGTGTACAATTTTTCACCACACTTGCGACTGGCCAGGTTGTGGTGGCGATGTTGGTGTGGATCGAACATGGTCTCACCTTTGGGACGGTATTCAAACGACTCGCCGCTGCTGGTGTCGCCAGACTTCCGTAGGTTGTTCAGTCCGACCCCAGCGGGCGCATAGGTAACTGCTGAAGGCTGTGAGCCGAACGTGCAGGAATAGCGCATATTTTGATGATAGTTTTGCGAGGTACCGTAAGTAACCAGCTCGAGACTTTTGTCCTGTAACTGGCGCTTCAGCTTGTAGCGGCGGTTCTGAAACCAAATCTTCACCTGAAATCGGAAAAAAAGGAGTGGGAATGGGAATGGTATCGAATGGGATCGAATATTCTAGCCAAAACTTTTTTCACCCGAGTGTTATTATCGACTTGACGCGACTTCAATTTGAGGATTCATTTAGTACAATTACACCTGCTTGCAGGCGAAAAAACTAATGTCAGGGAGCTAGTTGCGTAATTAATATCTTTAGGAATTTCAATTTATTATTTGAAATGCTGAATACTGTTGGATTGAACAGCTGTGAACAATTAATGATCATTCCGCCCACGTAATTAAGCAGTCTTCAGACGAAATAAGTTACGCACAAACTCAAGTCAAGTCTCCACAGCTTTGTCTAGAATATTTTACTTATATATCGTCTAATAACTTGAAGGAAATCGCAAATCAAAATTTCATGACTTGAAATATTACCGGGGACCCCTGAGGAACGAATCGAAAACCACAGTATTTCTATGAGGTGGAAAAGGGCCGCCAAAATCTGTGTTCAGGTTAGTTCAGTTCAGAAATGTCCGTAACAAATAAATCGTAAATTGAATGTTAGGTTCAGAACCGGTTCATAGTGTTCGTTGATTATAAAAATAAAATTTCATAACCGTTTAAGGTTTCTTATAGTGTGAATGTCTTGAGGTTGAAGATGAGAGTTATGTTAATACTTATTTGGCCCTTATTTGGCCCTTAGCAGATACAGATAACAACAAAGACTCCAAGAGGGAGCTAGTTGCTAAGGCAATATAGTTGATGTCTAGAATGTTAACAGGAAAGAAGTTAACACTTATACTCGGTATAAGTGGCTTTACTTTTTAACTGTTTCAAATAAGAAGTAGCACCTTCAATGGAACTGGGCAACTATGGCAACATGATGCATAAAAAATGCCTCCTGTGTAATCACACGGTTTTTTATTTTATTTATATTTTAAATGCCCATTGTGAGAAATAATGGGTAGAAAACAAATGAATGATTTTTTTTATTCACCGTCAGTTTGAGTTCAGCGGTCAACGTGAACCAGGACTTGAACCGGATAGGAGAAATAGAAGCGGGCGACTAGATAACAGATAAGTGGACGGGTGTTATCGCCTCTCCGTACTTTTAAAACTCTTATGTACGGTTATAAGCTGATTCGGGACATTGCTTGCGAAGTTCAAGAAAACATAAAACCCTGATAAATCTTGATGGTGGTCTCGAAAACTCTATTAAAAATTGTGTACATAGTTTCCTGTATGTTGTTGCTCAATGCCTATAGATTTTTAATTAGAATTTCCGTATGCTTGTTCAATAGTTTTTAATAAGACTGCTTCCACATTTTGTCATTATGCGAAAGCCAAAAACTGAATTATCCCAATGTCTGTTAGAATACGCTATACGTTTATTTCATTAAAAATCAACTACGAGAAAGAAGTTATCTTTTAGGAGTCCTGTTAAGAACTGTTGGGCGCATTATTTAAACTCCAGTAAGATTGACATTATTTTCATCTGCTCCCCGGATTAGATACTTTCAGTGTACATAATTATGGCCCGGTAATAAATATGATTTGCTTTTTTAAACAGGCCTTAAGGTTATGGGCTGTTCATGTATAGGGCCAAAGTACCGCTATATGGTCAGCACTCCGTAAAAGCTTTTAATGGATGTGAAGAGTGTGTGCGAAAAAAACTGATTGAAGCATATTCTTCGGCGCCGATGTAAACTTTGCCGCCTTATTTATCAATTGTTAACCGGAACAGCCGCATGCGTAGAATAACTAATACTTTTTCCGGAGTATAATTTACCACCAAAAGTGGGTCATCGCTCTGAAAAAATAAACAATTTCAGTTGCCACACCGCCAACAGCTTTTATATAATATTCAAAGTCTTGAACAATCAATAACTTATCGGTATCCTGCCGAGGTTTCGAATTTTTTAAATGGATAATAGGACGCATCTGCCTCAGAATAAGGAAAATCACCCTCCTGAAAAAAGCTCCTCTAGATTTCTAAATTTCCGTTTTGGAATTGCGGTGAGGCTAACTTCGTGATGGGAAATTTCTTTATGCGCGTACGAAGTGTCGCTATGTATTAAGATCTACAGAGAAGTGTAAAAAGCTTTCTGCTGATCTGTGAAGCCGACGATTCAGATCAGCATACTACTAGGGGCAAAAAAGCGTTACAGCTACTACCTCGTTAAAGTCTTTCGGTCGGATCACCACATTCAGAGATAGGATCGTGAACGAGTAGAGAAAATGGGCTGTTAGTACAGTTTAATTTATACACATATTTTCTACATGAATTCTTAATCACTCATGTTGTCCTAATGCTGTCTTCTGTAGACCATGGTCTTGCGGCCAATCTTGGAGAGCATCAGGATGTGGAAGACTTAGCACAAATTTATATCGACTTTGCGCAATAATTTACCATACTGTACTAGCTAAACGCCTGTGGTGTCAGTATGTCAAATGACTACGCAGTGTATACTACCAACTGCCTGCTGGCAGTTTGTGGATATGACGTGCTTATATGGAATAAACTAATATATTTCAACTGAAATATTCACATGAAGGCTGGGACTGGGCCTGAAAACGTTTGATCCGAAGGATTTACTCAAAGGTAACGCATTTATTTCCGTGGAAATTGAACAAGACAACACACAGGTTCACCAGAACAGTCGTTATTCTCCAACTGCCCTAAGGATTCTAATTCAGTTAAGTAAGCAAAATAAAGGTATTTAAGTATGGGCTACGTCAGCTGCAGCCTAAATTTGCCTAGGTATTTGACTAGATCGCCTGGAAAGACACGACAAATGGCTTTGGACGTATTTTTTGCGGCCTCCCTTTCTTGTTTCGTGAACTATACTGGTTTTCATCAGTTTACATTTAACATAGATATTACTGGTCCGGTTATTGGACTAGCTCATCCATTTGTGCCCTCGGATTCAAGTTGCAGCTCTCGAAGGCAGTCGTATAGAAAGGGTGTTTTGAAATTGTGAAAATTCGCCGAGTGCCTTGCCACTGTCTATACCAGCGATACAATGCTTCTTCCTATAGTACCTGTCTACATAGGAAAGGTTTAATTTTCTCATTTGCACGAACATCGTCCCGCTGTAATTATAGCTCTAGATCGGTGGATTCGTTTTTCTAGCGAATATGAGTCTATGTTGTTTGCAAGCTTTTCAAAATAAATTATATTATTGACTGAACATATAATCCGAGGGGATTTGCACATTTGCTGTGAACTTTTTCCAATAATTAAACATCACAATTATAACGTACAGTAAGTTATAACACAATTATAATTTACAGTAAGTTATAATTGTGATGTTTAGTTATTGGAAAAAGTTCACAGCAAATGTGCAAATCCCCTCGGATTATATGTTCAGTCAATAATATAATTTATTTTGAAAAGCTTGCCAACAACATAGACTTATATTCGCTAGAAAATCGAATCCACCGATCTAGAGCTATAATTACATAGGGACGATGTTCGTGCAAATGAGAAAATTAAACCTTTTCACAGCTGTAGAAAAAATAGAAAAATAAATGCAGGACTTGCCAATACGAGCGAACATGCGAGTCCCAGGAAGTACATGGAGTGCGTTTCGAAATCCGCGATGGATTTCGAAACGTCAGGCAAAAAAATTCATGTCCCAGCGACCACATTGGCCTCTTCTCAAAGGCATGACTACCGATGCTTGCAAAATGGTCACTTCCCAGTGATAGTAACTAAAAGGAGGCGCACTCGAATACCTACGCGTCCGAATCCTAGATATCGGTCCAGTTTAGTCCTTATTTCAGCTATCGGTTATGCCGGTTCAGAGGCACCTCACCAATGTTCAGAGCCTGGCCGCTGATTCCGATGAAAACACCATGGAATTTACACGTCTGGCATCATTCAAGAATCAGCTTTGAAGTTAACTCGTAGGACTTTAATTGTAATCTCCCCCTTAAATCGCATTTTGGTTCGTTTAGTCAGTGCGAGCACAGTCCTTTCTGCTCTTTTACAACTAACTCCCTCTGGAAGACAAAGCAAACGCTCTTTCATTTTCCTGTGATGATTCTAATGCTTATCGTCGAATAGGCCTTTTACTAACAGCTACCTGCCTGCCTGTCTATTCTGCCATATCGGTCCCCATGCTCACACCATGCAATCGGCCCCCTCATCACGACAGAAAACGAAGAGGCGCTGACGTCGGGGGTTATGTTTACATACAGTTGTTTACTAAAGTGCAATGGACCCTAGTACGACGTCATAAGTGTATACACTATTTGCGAGTCAATAACATGTGACAAATGGCTTGAAACGGGGTTGGCTGCTGGCGCCGTCAGAAAGAGAATCGACGAAGATGCACGTGGTTGTTTAAAGGGCAGGGCACGGGCTCTTACCTCCAGTAATTAG